AATTGTATATTGAGATATAAACGACCCTAGAAGGTATTATTGTAACCTTCAAAGTATGTCCTGCATGTTTTAATCAGACACTTCTAACATCAGGGGGGAGCAAACAGCTGGATTTGATTCTGTCTACCAGAACCTGTTGAGCAGGTTTTTACGCAAAGTCTTCAACAACAGAGGAGATGTTTTAAAGAAGCTCTGAATCACTTTCATCATAAAACGTCATCCTGGAAATAAGAGGTCAATCTATGTTCATGTGGAAAAATGGATTTATTGCAAATCATCTTTTGTTACTTTCCTCCACAGAGTTAAGATCACGTTCACTCAGCTGATCCATGCTGGACTTTGGGTTTACAGCTGTGGAGACTCTGCTCAGTTTGTCCCTGAAATAAAAGTTGATTTGTTCGTAGCTGAGAGTTTATTGTTGTGACGTGACGCTGATCTTCGGTCGTTGTCCTTGTTCCGTTTTGTTCCCTGTTAAATAAAGTTTTCTTGAAGTGACAATGGAAACGTCAACGGGCTCCTATCAAGAGAAATTTCTCTTTTCTTCCCGTCACTCATCAAAGTTTGATCCAGATGATCAGCACACAGAAATAATTCAACAGTTTTTCACTTACTGGTGTGTGAACTTGATCATTGCAGAAACATTTTGTTTCAGCACACAGTGACAAACACAAAATGTTCTTATCGTTGAGAAATAGAAGAAGAAAAAGTGTCAACAAACAACGTGAACAAAAAGATTTTTAGAGTTTAATCAAAGTTTGAGACGTCTACAGCTCCTGACAGGGAGACAAACTGAGAGAGCGAACGTTGGAAGATGAATTTGATCTGTGAGTCTTTAAATTTGATTTAAACCTCACGTTGTCTTTAATTTAACAACTTCATTCAAAACTTTTCAGCTGTTTCAGTTGATCCTGTCTGCTTTGTCTGCCTTTTACAGCTCGACTAGAGTTTAATGAGGAAAAACCAAACTTGTTATTCTGCTTCAAACAGCATATTTTTATTGCAGCAATCTGCTGCAGATGTTGGGATGTTTGCTGCTCAGATAGATATTGTTCTGTTTAAGAGATCCAGAGGAGTTCATTGTGTCCTCAGCTGGTGTGAAATCAGAATAAACTTTATTATCATTGCACCGAGATACAAAGACAATATGTCCGTGCAGTCGTCCGAAAGATGGGCGGAGTGCACGTAGCTGCTGCTGTATAGCGCGGCCTCGTCGTATCCTTTTCAGAATACATTTTTAGATAGAAAGATTGACAAAGCCATGAGGAGAAGATGGTGGCCTTACAAAATAAAAATGTCTCTTCACACCTTGTCCTAACAGGACATGATTTAATAAATCAAAAAACTCTGCCAGCAGCACATTTATGAACACGTTACAGATGCTTTTGAAGACGAGGTGGTCCATGAAGCACTAACAGATAGTCCATTGTCCTGATAAGATGATGGTCAGCTGGCACAGTTCTGATAAGCCTCCACAGAAGTTTGGGTGCAATAGACAAAGCTTGTCCTTAGTTTACACATTTCCCAGGAGAAGTTTGATAAGTCGGCCTGTTTTCGAGGCCAACCAGGGAGTCAGATTCAGATAATCCACAATTGTTCGTTTTTTCAAGCAGACTATTTTTCTTGTAGGCCTTGAGTCTTACTGGTGCTTCCAAGATCTGAAATGGCCAGATTAGGGCGCATTCTACTGGTCCGTGCTTATGAGCCCCTGCAAGGTCGTTCCAACATGCTGACGAGTCCCAAAGCCTCAGGTGGCCTGTGATTCAAATCACTTCCATCTCACGGTTTAGCTCGTAAATCAGCTGATTTTGAGTCCTCAAAGCACGAACAAAACCTTCACATAAGCAGCAGCCTGACGAGGGTCAAACCAGCTGCGGCCGTCTTCTTTCTATGTTGATAAACCAGGAACCAGACAATTCCAAAAACAGGAAACCTGTTATCATCAATACAATTATTTGCAATTTCGTCGTCCTCGACCGACAGCAGAGATAGACACATCACATTCCACTTCCCCAGAGATATATCCAGCTGCACGTGTTGTCCGAGCACACGAGGGTTCTCCAGGACCCTAGCTGTCGCTTTGTTGAAAAGATTTTGTCATTTGAAAGTCGAAAGTCCAGTTGGTCAGATCCAAAACAGTAGTTTTCATTTTGGAAGATGTGTAAAAATAGGAGCTGCTCCGATACACAGACAGAGAGCAAAATAAGCAGGAGGAGAACAGGGAGAGGGAGAATGTGTACGCCTCGTTCCAGAGCAAGTGAGAGGACAAAAAACTCAGTTAGAAGAAATTATAAACTGAACAAAAGAGAAACAAACAAAACGACAAACATTAGTTTTCTTAAACAGAATTTATTGACACTGATTTGATCATAAAGCTGCTTTGAGTTAATATCAGTGTTATCCATGAAATTGTCTGATTGGAAACACAAACTCTGCAGAAACATACAAGACAAGAACGAAGATAAAATGGATGTCAGTCACAGTGAAGAAAATAAATACATTGTGCAATAAACAGAGATTAATAATGAAGCAGAAGCAAGTTTCTTTACGCACACATTGAGCAGCTGACGTTTTAGAGGAGCTGTGTTTTTAACAGAAAACTCTCATGCAAAGAGTCAAAGAGTTTTCCTCTCAAATCACTGCCTCTTCTTCCTGCTCCTAAACACAGCAGCTCCATCCAGTCTGTCACAGATGTCCTTGTTCCTCCAGTTTCAAAGGTGAAACCAGAGTCTTGGTCATTTTTAGCTGCATTCTACCTTTTGACCAGCAGGGGGAGACACCTGTGGCTGTAAACCTAATTAATCTGACAAAAAGACTCCATTTCTCTTGATTTGTGACTTCGTTTAACATGTTCATGATAAGAATATGGTTCTGTTTGACAGAGAACAATGTTGGTTTTTAAATGATGGTTGTGGTTTGAATCAAACCGGCAGGAAAGCATCATTAGAGCGAGGCTGATTTCAAACTGACAAGCTGCTGCTCAACAGGAGCGAGAAGTTTTACACAGTTTTTGTCACATTCACACATTGTTCATGACTTCCTGTTTTCAAAGACCACGAGGGCTTTGGCCATATGGATGAAGTTGATGCTTCAGAACATCAATGAATAAACTCATCTGTGACTCTCAAAGAGTT